TGTGGTTCTACTTCCCAGCTCCTGGAGCTGTTAAAGCTGCTTGCACGGAGCGAGACAGGTTGTCTGTAGTGACCTGGATCAGTTTCTCAGTCTGCCTTTGCATTTTAGGACCTTTCTGGCAGGACAGAGGTTTTGTAGACTCTCCACATTGGGCCTGGGGATGGGGCCATGTGTTTGGATGGGGATATCCTGCTGTGACACTGTGGCTTTTCTTGTGTCTCACATCAAGGGACAGGAGGTGGCTGTTAGCTCCATCTTTGGTGATGTGAGTTGGATCCTGTGGTGAGAGTGGTATATGAATCCCTGCAGGCAGCCATAATCATACACCACAGACTGGGTGGCACAAACAATAGGAGCTTATTCTTTTTTTAAAAAAAAGATTTATTTATTTGTGCATACAGAACTGGGGTACAGGCCAGAGATGTGGAGGGTGAGAGGATTCACCAGAGACAGAGTGGGGAGCAGAACAGGTAGATCGACAAAGTACACTGCTGAGGGGAGCAGCGGGCGGGCAGGAGAGATCTGCCACGCCATGTGGAGGCCTCCGGGGCAGGCGGGGGATTGAACTCATGCGGAAGTGGCTTAAGCTTCTTAGTGCTGTGCTTTAACCCGCTGCGCCACCAGGGAGGGCCAGGAGCTTATTCTTTTACAGTCCCTGAGGCTGGAAGTTCAGGACGCAGGTGCTGAGGGACTGGCCCTCCAAGGCCTCTCTCCCTGGCCTTGCCCTCCCCAGGTGTCCTCACAAGGTCTTTTCTCTGTGGCACACTAGTTAGGTATCTCTGTGTGTCCAAACACCTCTGAAGAATCAGGACCCCACACAGGTTGAATTTGGACCCACACTCGTGGCCTTAGCAACTTCATCACCTCTTCAAAGACATGATCGCCAAGACAGTTAAAGTATTGGGAGTTAGGGCTTCAACATATTAATTGTGCACTTAATGCAAGTCAGCCCATAACGGACAGTGAACTCCTGGCGTCCCCATTGTAAAGCTAGAATTTTCTTTCTAAAAGAGATTGATTTATGTGTACAGAACTGGGGTACAGGCCAGAGGTGCAGGTGAGAGGATTCACCAGAGACAGAGTGGGGAGCAGAGCAGGCAGATTGACGAAGTACACTGCTGAGGGGAGTAGCGGGCGGGCCAGGAGAGGTCTGCCGCGCCATGTGGGTCAGCTCCCTGACCGGGGATTGAACTCATGCTGAAGCAACTGTGGTTAGCTTTGTGGTGCTGTGCCTTAACCCTAGAGTTTTCTCTTTGTAATTAGTAAGTTATCTGTGAGCTGAGACTTTGAGGTAGTTTTGCCGCCCCAAGCTTTTTATCTCGGTGGCTTTTTATCTCCGTGGAGTTGTTCTGACTCAGTTTTGATTTTTATTTCAAAGACTTAGAACAATAGTAGATAACCTGTGTGTGCATCTGAATTCAGGGTTTTCATGTGCATCTTTCAGAGATGGAAATAGAAGCCCAGAGAGAGTAAGTTACTTGTCCAGGGGCACACAGCAAGTTGACAACTCTAGTAATTATTCCATTCACTAATTGCTGCTACGCCTCAGGTACTGAGTGATAACCACTTGACAGGTCTGAACAGTGAGATCAGAGAGGCTTGGCACACAAATGGCCGGTGAGAGAGCTGTATAGGGTGCCCGGTCTGACTTAACACCAAAGCCTGATGTCTCATTCACAATCTGGTATGACATCTCAAGGATGAACAACTTTCAGCCCTGAAGTCTTGAATGCTGAAGCTGTGGCCTCTGTGCTTTTCAGACTCTCCTGATATGAATGTGGGGGATGATTCAGTCAGTGGTTTTAACCCTGTCTCACCCAATGAAATTATAGCCCACATTACCTTCCTCAGCTCATCGGCATCCTAAATGCATAATGCCTGAACTTGAACCTGAAGGAGAAATACCTGCACATTGATATCTCTGTAAATGTTTGGACAGCCCTGGAGACACATAACAAAGGTGACAGTGGCTTCTGATTATGAGTGCACAGGCCCTGAGTGTAACCTGCCCTGTTGACAGTCTCTGGGACATTCAAGCCACTCACCGAAACTGCTATTGCTGGTGGAATTTTCCAAAGTGGCAGATAACTCAGTCTAAACAGAATCCAGTCTTCTCTCCACAAACACTTGCTATAGTCCTTGAAAAGTCAGTGTCTTTTTAAATGATGAAGAGAAGTACACTACAGGTAAAATAGCGAGGTGCTGAGCCATGACCATTTTTAATAGGTTTGTCACTGAGGTTCAGTGGGACTGTCCCTGGTGCTGCAAGCTGTGTAGAGCTTCTGGCCTTCTCTACTGTCTGCTCCGTGTCCCCTTCCCGCGTTAAGCACCATCACCCGCAGTATCCAATAATGGCCACGAGAGGGCAGTACTCCCCCACTAAGACTCGGGCTCATTGTGTTTAGGGGCGTTTTAGCATCTGCAGGTCTGGACTAGGTTCAGGCAGATTTTATTTATTTGTTTGTTTGTTTTAAAGATTTACTTAATTATGCGTAGGAGAACTGAGGTACAAGCCAGAGGTGGGGAGGGAAAGGATTCTCTAGAGACAGTGGGGAGTCCAACAGGCAGATGGACTGAAGTACACTGCTGAGGGGAGCAGTGGGGAGACAGGGGAGGTCTGCTGCACCCTGTGAGTCACCTCCCTGGTGGGGGATCCAACTCGTGCTGCAGTGGCTGCAGACAGCTTCATGGTGCTGTGCTTTAACCTGTTGAGCCACCAGGGACAGCCCTTTGGGCAGATTTTAGAGGAGCGTTGATGCCAGCAAGGTACAGCAGATGACCCAGGAAAGACAAGCCCCCTCCAAAGGGTCTGACATCCTTCCTCCATCACCTGTGGCTGTGGCACACAGGAATTTCAATACAGGTTGTTGTAACTTCCCTTTTTAAAAAGGGGATCTGGAAATCTGGAATAATAGGCTGTATCCTATTTTTTTTAAATGGCTGCAAAATTTCCTCCAATTTCCCTATATTTACCAGCTGACATGTTGCCATGTCCGCTGTATCTGTCTCTCTCTCCCCCACACCCCCACACTCAGGTACATACAAAAATACCATTTCTTCTTTGTTGTTACTAAACCTTTTGAAAATGAGCTGTAGGTATCTAGAAACTTCAGCATCCATCTCCTCAGAATAAGCTCAGGCAGGCTTTCCTACTGTGACCACCCCAGGGGTATTAACACTAGCCACAATGTCAGCTAATATCTATATCATCCACACCTAAATTTCTCAGCTGTCCCCCAAATGTGCCCTGTATTTATTTCTTCCCCTTTATTCCAGGATCCAGAAGGATCAAGTTTTGCATTTGGTTATCTTGTCACTTTCTAGTCTCTTTTGAAAAAAATTTTTTTAGTTATAATTGGCTAAATCTTCAGGGTACAGCTATATGAATTTTCACACGTGTGTATACTATAAAACGACGGCTCCTAATATACTTGAGGGGCAAATTTTTTTTAAGATTTATTTATTTATGGAGATAGGGGTACAGGCCAGAGGTGCAGGGGCAGTGAGAGGAGTCACTAGAGACAGTAGGAAACAGAACAGGCAGACATAGTCCACTGCTGAAGGGACAGAGGGTGAGACAGGAGAGGTCTGCTGCGCCGTGTGGATCAGCTCCCGGGCACGGACTCGAACTTGTGCTGAGGTGGCTGCTGCTGGCTTCATAGTGCTGAGTTCCAACCTATTGCACTACTAGGGAGGACCCCTGAAAAGTTAACTTGATCTCTTTGTTTTTTTTTTAAATTTTTTAAAGATTTATTTATTCATACAAAGCTGGGGTACAGGCCAGAGATGCGGAGGGTGAGAGGCTTCACCAGAGACAGAGTGGGGAGCAGAACAGGCAGATCGACGAAGTCCACTGCTGAGGGGAGCAGCAGGCGGGTCAGGAGAGGTCTGCCACGCCCTGTGGTCACCTCCAGGGCAGGCGGGGATCGAACTCATGTGGAAGTGGCTTTAGCTTCTTAGTGCTGTGCTTTAACCCGCTGCACCACCAGGGAGGGCCCAACTTGATCTCTTTTAACCCAGAAACATGCCTCCCACCTTCTCACTGTCTTTCATGAAGCTGATATTTTTGACCCGGCGTGTTTGCGTGATGGGTCCCCACAACTGGACATGGTTGGTGTGCCTCCGGAGGGACTGTCGCCAAATGATGTCATGTCCTTCTCAGCGCCTCCCATCCCTCCCTCCCAGGGCCTTGGGGCCTAGGAATGGTGGTGCTGACCTTGAAGGCCCGGTCACGGGGCTTTCTCCAGGTCCCTCCATTGCCAAGGTGCTGCTTTCCCTGGCTACTCACTTGTCTGTGACCAGATGTGGCGACTGTGTGACCCGTTTTTTAAAGTCTGAGTGGCCACAGAGAGCGCATTTTTCAGCAGCACCCCTAGCCTTCAGGCGAAGGTCTCTAGCATCCTCATCCTGGAAAGGTGGGGGCTGATAGAAGGATGGGGAGCTACCAAGGGCAATTGGATGGATGCAGGTAACTGCAACAGGACCCCCAAGAGCCCCTGTCTTCCTGCAGCTCCGGGACTGTGGAGGGCTGCGGGAGGTGGAGGTGACCGCCTGTCTGGTGTGGAAGGACTGGCCCCACCGAGTCCACCCCCACAGCCTGGTGGGGAAAGACTGCACCGACGGCGTCTGCAGGGTGCGGCTCCGGCCTCATGTCAGCCCCCGGCACAGGTACCCAACCCTTGAACCCCAAACCTTCCCCCGGGTCATGCGGAGTCTGACAGGCCATGGGCTGTTTGGCCAGACTCTCCTGCTACATTTCTTAGATGGGGAAACTAAGGCCTGGGGGAGGAGGGGAGGGGTTTCCTTGGGCCTGGAAGCCTGCCACACGCATATACCTACATATTCTATTTAGCCCCATTTTGTGGAGGAGATGACTGAGGTGAAGGAGCACAGATAGCCAACGGCAGAGCTGGATTTGACTCTGCACTTGACTTTATGGCCAAAACCTGGTCTTTTTCTCGCTTTACAATTTATGTATTTTTAACAAATAAAAGCTCACAAAAGATGTTCAGTGAAAACTAAGTTGCTTTCCATTTTTGCTCCAGCTGCCAGTATCCCTTCCTGTAGGCAACTAAGGATATGCTATGTGTGTGTGTATATATATGCAAACATTTACATATTTCTACATATAAATAGATAGATGGATATATTTTCCTCCTGATATAAATGGCGACAGACATTTGCACCTTGTTCCAGTATATCCTGGGGATTATTCTTACCAGTACATTTAGAGTATTCTTGTCCCTTTTACCTACTGCATAGTATTCCGGCTGTGTATGGATGCTCATTGAACAAGTATTTTATTAATGGGCACCTAGGTGCTCATGACTTTATTGCTCACGATGCTGCAATGGATGACTTTACACAAATATCGTTTCTCCTCTAGGGTAAATTTCTAGAAATGAAATTGAGGCTGCAAGTCTGTACATTTATACTTCCTCTAGTAATTTTTGAATTTAATGAAAGTGTCACTTCCACAAGGTAGAGCCTATCCTGGTGCCTGCACATAGTAGGTATTCAGGAAATATTTGTGGAAGGAGATTACTGCCACATTGTCCTCCAATTTGTAATTGCTGGGGCAATTTATAGCCCCATCAGCAATGGTTCATACAAATACCCTCTACCAGTAGAGGGTATTTGTTTTTAAAAATTCACATCACATTAATGTCTAATTTGTTGTTTTATTACTCTCAGTGATGCTGGCTAGTATGTGCATGCAGTAACAATAACTTAAGGTGTGTTTTCAGGTTTGACACCCCTAAGGGATTTAAACCCAGATCCTTCCTAATGCTTGTTCTGTGGACCCCTGAGACTGTGAGCCCTGAGGTAGCATAGCCCTCCTTTGGGCTAGGGCTGTACCTCGCCCTTGCAAGTAACTTCCCTTCCCCATCTACCTCTATTTAGCTTTAACAACCTGGGCATCCAGTGTGTGAGGAAGAAGGAGATTGAGGCTGCCATTGAGAGGAAGATTCAGCTGGGCATTGACCCCTACAATGGTGAGTCTGTGCCTGGGCTGACCCTTCCATACTCCCAAACCCTTTGCCTGCGCCTGTCCCTTGTCTTCTCCAGTCCCTACAATCCCTTCCAGATCCTTCCCTTCCTTGCCTACCCTGTCTTTCCCACCAGGGTCTCCATCCCTCCTACCCTCTGCCTTTCTGCATCTCCCCCACAGCTGGGTCGCTGAAGAACCATCAGGAGGTGGACATGAACGTAGTAAGGATCTGTTTCCAGGCCTCATACAGAGACCAGCAGGGACAGATGCGCCGAATGGATCCTGTGCTGTCTGAGCCTGTCTATGACAAGAGTGAGTTGAGGGTGCTGTGTCTGTTTAGGTTGTCCTTGGCCTCAGCTATCAGAAAACTACCGTATATTGTGGCATCAACAAACAGCTTGTCACTCATTTTTATCTCCATTTTAAAGTCTATTCCTGTTGATTCAACTGCTCAGCAATAGCTGTTTCAGCAGCTCTCTGATTCTCTTGGCGTTTCCCTCATGGTCATGAGATGGCTACTGCAGCTTTAGACATCATGTTTGTGTTCATGACAGGCAGTATTGCCCTGTGAGACTCTCCAGGGTCAGCATTTCCTGTGCAGCCTATGGAAACAGGACCTCCTTGCATTGTAGATTGTGTAACTGGTATAGCTTAAAGGTGACCTGAGGAAGAGGCTGAGTGAGCAATGCTGTGTCTCTCTTTTATAGACAGAATAGCATATTCCTCAGCCTCCTGCTGGTAGATTTCTGCTTATCTCATTTGCCAGAAATTGCCACCATGGTCATTGTTAGTTACAAGGGAGTCAGGAAAAGCATATAAGTCATTTTTAGTCCTCTCTACAGGGATACAGGCATGGAAGAAGGGGTTGGGAATTTGCTATTAGGACTTACCAGGCCACAGGGACCATCACAGCATGGAAATGTGTAGGGTATTGATACAGTTGGGGCTTTTAAGGATGAAAGTGCTAGAATACAGCAATGGAAAGAATAAAAAGAATGTGTTCCATGAACTAAAAAAATTCAGAGGTAGCTCAGCCCTCAGGTCTGGCTACATTCAGGTCCTCAATGATGTCATAAGCGACCTGACTCATTGCTTGCTCAGCTGTGCTTCCTCCATATTGGAGGCATTCGTGGCAGGGCTCTCTCATGTCAGGGCAGAAAGACTTTGTGTAGCCCTAGGCCTGTATTCTGCCATCTTGGTATCTCTTCTTGGCTCCTAGAGCTTCTCTGACCCAATATTTTTGCTCAGTCTCAGGGCTATCTCTCATTGGCTTGGTTTTAGTCATGTGCTCCTTTCTCACCAATCAGCGATGGCCAGAGAGAAGTGATGCTGTGATTGGCTGGGTTGGAAGCACATAACCACTGTTGAGCTAAGGAGTGAGCTTCGCTGATTTCTTTGGTCTGCTATGGGGGATGGTCCCTTGCAGGAAAATGGAAGGGCTTCTAAGGGAAGAATGATCAGGACTGCTAATGGGCAGAACTACTAGTGTCAACTATAGATTTCAGACCGTTAACCCTCCTCTAAGAGTTATCTCTGGTCTCTGCCCTGCCAACGGGCGTTGAGGCTTGAGGATATCCCTTTTGACGAGGCACTCACACTCATGGGCCATCAACATGGAAGACTCCTTATTGTCCCCTCCTATCTAAGCATCTTCTGGGGGACCAGAATCTGAGCCACAGATTCAAGGAGGGCCAGGTACCCTGCCTTGCCCATTTCTCACTTCTCCCCAGGCAGGTGGACACCCATGTAGTACCTGATGAGGTTTGATGACTGAATTCTGGGTTTTCTTCCATGCTGACATCCTCTTGCTCCTCTCAGAGTCCACAAACACGTCAGAGCTGCGGATTTGCCGAATCAATAAGGAGAGTGGGCCGTGCACAGGCGGTGAGGAGCTCTACCTGCTTTGTGACAAGGTGCAGAAAGGTGAGGGGCCTGGGGCACTGAGTGGGCACAGGGGCTCTGCTGGCTCAGAGGGGAACACAGGGAGCCCAGAGGGTGAGAGGAGAATGGGAAACTCATTAACCTGGGGAAGCGGAACAGAAGGATTCACATGCTGACTTTGGAGTCAGACAGCTATGGCTCAGTAGTTCACTCACTTAGTCCTGTGCAGAGAAGGCGGTTGTCTGCGCTGGCACTGCTGCTTGAGGCATCTTCAGCTCCGTGTCCGGGAAACTGATGTTAAACGCTTGAAGTTGCATAAATAAATGCTTTAGGACCCTCATGTATGGTGATGGGGCTACTGGTGAAGAAAATGGGGGACCTGAAAGGCATCATCCACTCATTCATGACTGTTCAAATGTTCTTTCTTCAGATAGGGTTTAAAACAAACAATAGGGCAGCAACCTCTCCTGACCGGCCGCTGCTCCCCTCAGCAGTATATTTCAGTCAGTCGCCTGTTCTGCTCCCTGCTCCGTCTCTGGTGAATCCTCTCACCCCCCCCCCCACACCTCTGGCCTGTACCCCAGTTCCTATGTGCATAAATAAATAAAAATCTTTAAAAATAAAACAAACAATAAACCTCCATTCAGGGCCACCTGGGCAGAGGGCAGGAGAGAGCCTCCTTGTTAAGTTCAGACCTTCTCTCTGTCCTTTGTATTTTTTATCACATGACTCTGTCACCAGGAACTTCCCCAGCAAAACCAAGAAAGAGCTACGTTAGGTCTTGCTCTTGCTGTGTGCCAGGCTCCATGACCACTTTGGCTGGCTCACTTATTAGGTCATCTAGTCACCCCACACTTCTATGAGGTAGCACTTGTTACTTGTTCCAGTTTATAGGTGAGGAATCCAGAGTAAGTGCTTCAGGGTCAAGTAGGTAGAGGCAGGATTGCAATTCAGTCATCTTTGCTCTTAACCTTTCTTGTGGGATGAAATACAAAAATGTGTTGGGGGAGAAAATGAGAAGTTACAACAAGGTGGTATTTATTTTTAATCCTGATGCACTTTTATAAATGAAGGAAAAGAGGCAAGTTTGAAATGCCACCTTGAACAAAGCAGATTTCCAGAATTGTGTTTGATGGTGAGGGCTGTGACAATGAAAACATTAATAGTCACAGTGGTGGTAATTATGTCCCCAGAGTCCCGACCCTGTACCAGGTGACACGTGGGTTGAACCCCACATCTAATCTTGAGCATCCCTGAAAGACCCAAGCCCTTCAATTGCTGGGGTCTTTGCTCCATGGGAGTTTCCTCCCCCCCTCCCCTTCTCTCACCCAGGCCTGTGGCTTACACAGCAGAGGGAATCTTCTTTCACCATTTGACACGTAGTGGTTGAGCGCTCATTCTAGGCACTGGGGCAGCAGCAAATAAGATAGAGGAAACCCTATTCTTGTGGGGCCCACTTTTGAGTGGGAGCAACATCTAGTAACCAAGGTAGAGCAGTAAAGCATTGAGTGTGCTTGATGGTATTAAGTACCAAGGTCAAATAAGTGGTTCAAGGTCAACTAGGCAGGATTGAGGAAAGGAGCAGAGAGGAATGGTTGGAGGGGTTGGGTGAGTGCAATTTTACTTAGGGGAATCAGCCAGCATAGCATCCCTCTGATGAGAGGGCATCAGAGCCATGAGATTTGTGTGTCCCTCTAGGGAAAAGTGTTCCAGCAGAGGGAGGAGCAAGTGCAAAGGCCCTGTGGTAGGAGCAGATTGGGTTGTTAGAAGAACTGAATCTGATGGGTAGGGAGAGAGAGGGAGATGGGAGAACATGCCACAGCCCCAGGGCTCCCCCTTTTCAATCCTTTTGCAGATTGTATGATTAAATGGTTAATATCTGTTTTCCCCCACTGGGTCAGAAGGGTAGGACCTGGTGTTCTCTTGGTGAGCAGACCCAGCACCACCCAGTGCAGGATCAAGCACACATGAGGAAAATAAAAACTTATCATAGTTTGTTACTGGGGGAATTGGCACCTCCTGTGTGACTGCGCTGGGAGAGCACTCTTAGAAGTTTGGGCCTGGGCTCTGCTGGGCTCTGCTGGGCACCTTTTCCCATTACTGAGTATGCTGGGTCTCTTTTTGCTCTACTAAGTCAGACTCTTTACTGAGTCCTGTGAATCCCCTCAGTGAGTTGTGGAATATGATGTGGTGGGGGGGATGTTAACTTTACCTGCCTCCTGGTTTGTTAGAATTAAACGTGATAAAAAATACACAGAACACTTAGTGATGGCACACAGTAGATGCACAACAAAAAGCTAGCTGCCAATAATGATTGGTTTTATTCCTAGGGATATTGATGTTGACCTTGGGGGAGGCTGAGTGAGTTGGGGGCCCAGTGGGCCAGTGTCCTGGCTTAGCTGATGTCCCCACTCTCCCGCCAGAGGACATATCGGTGGTGTTCAGCAGGGCCTCCTGGGAAGGCCGGGCTGACTTCTCCCAGGCCGATGTGCACCGCCAGATCGCCATTGTGTTCAAGACACCTCCGTACGAGGACCTGGAGATCCTTGAACCCGTGACCGTGAATGTCTACCTGCAGCGGCTCACTGACGGGGTCTGCAGCGAGCCTCTGCCCTTCACGTACCTGCCCCGGGACCATGGTAACGACGCCACCCACCACCTTTGGGCCTGGGCCTTGCTTGGGGAAACCCAGAAGGGAAAGGGGAAGAGGCAAAAGTAGACAGACTAGGGTTCAAATCTTCGCCACCACCGATTGTGATCTTGACCACCCCGAGCTTTCACTTCTGGTGCAGAATGGAAACAGTAGTAATATTCATCTCACAGCACTGGAAGTGTTTGATAGTTCCTCCCTCAGCACACCTGCTCATCCCTGGGCTTGGGCTAGGGACACAGCTGTGACTGAGATAGGGGATGCCTCAGACCCAGCTGTGACTGAGGTAACCCCAGGGGGAGGCAGATCCATTTTCATACAGTGACAGGACTGGGATGGAATTGCTGGTGGTGGTGGTGGCGAAGATTACCCAGAAGGGCTACTTGATTCAGCCGTAGGCATCAAGGAAGGCTTCCTGGAGGAGGGGATAGTTGAGCTGACATCAGGAGGGTGACTAGTAGTTCAGGACATGGTGGGAACTGAGGAAGAATGTTTTAAGCAGCTGAAACAGAAATTGCAAAGGTCCTGAGGCTGGATTACGCCTAGGTGGCTAGAAATGGATTTGGGTTTCTGATTAAATGAGTATGGACATCTACTTGCATCGGTTGGCAAGAACTGGAACAGCTCAGCAACTTCCTAAATGGTCTGCATAAATTCTGAATTAATTCTTATTATTAACAGATTACTTTGTTTCCCTTTGGTATCTCCTGCAGATAGCTATGGCGTGGACAAGAAGCGAAAACGGGGGATGCCTGATGTCCTTGGGGAGCTGAACAGTTCTGGTATGTCCCCTTTACCCCTATCCACATCCACCTGCAGGTCCCTGGGAGTGGGTAACTAACCCTACTGCACCCGGCTGGGGAGGAGGGAATGTTGGGATCTGGGGTGCCTCATCCCTGCCTTTTCTCAGACCCCCATGGCATCGAGAGCAAACGGCGGAGGAAAAAGCCAGCCTTCATGGACCACTTCCTGCCCAGCCACAGCTCAGGTGGGTCCCAGCTCAGCAAGCACTTACCCCTAGGGGTAGACTGAGGGTGATGTGCAGTCTTGCTTTTGTGGCCTCTCCAGGCCCCCAAGAGCTCTGGCCAGTGACTGACCAGCAACATAGTATGGAAAGAATTGCAATTCTGGACAGACAGGAGGCTTTGCTCTCCCTGGGGCCAGTTACTTTTACTTGCTGGGTGACCTTTGCCAGGCTGCTGTCTGAGGGGCACATGGGAAAAGCCCCACCACATAACCACCTCATTGGCTTTTTAGAAACTTCATGTTATTTATTTTATTTTGAAAGATTTTGTCTTTAATTATTTATGCATACAAGAAGAACTGGGGTCTAGGCCAGGGGTGCCGAGGGTGGGAGGATTCACCAGAAAGAGTGGGGAGCAGAACAGACAGATCAACTGAAACACACTGCTGAGGGGCGCAGCAGGAGACAGGAGAGGTCTGCTGCGCCAGGTGGGTCAGCAGCTTGACTGGGGATTGAACTCAGGCCGAAGTGGTTGGCATTAGCCTCCTAGTGCTGAGACTTTAACCCCTGTGCCACCAGGGAGGCCTACACATATTTATTTATTTTAAAGATTTATTTTTATTTTTATGCATACAGAACTGGAGTACAGGCCAGAGATGTGTGTGTGGGTGGGTGGGTGGGGTGGTTTGAGAGAATTCACCAGAGAGTGGAGAACAGAATAGGCAGATCGACTGAAATATACTGCTGAGGGGAGCAGCGGGAGGATCAGGAGAGGTCTGCCGCACCATGTGGGCCACCTCCCGGACCAGGGATTGAACTCCTATTGCAGTGGCTGTGGATAGCTTCATTGTGCTGTGCTTTAACCCACTGCGCCGCCAGGGAGGGCCCTCGTTTGTTTATTTTAACAGACACCATGACGAGTTGGAAGTATTGTGGGCTTCCAGCTACACAATCACCCTTCAAGGGGCCCTCTCACACTGCATGCCCCTTTTCCATTTTGCCAGTGAATTAATGGAAGCCCAGAGAGGTGAAGTCTCTTTTCCCAGGTCACACAGCTCACTAGTCTGGGGTGAAGCAGAGAGTTAACCCCGGACATCTGTACCGACGAGTGATGGTGTGTGTGAAATGGGCAACAGGGTAGATGGTAAATGGTAGATGGTAGTGCCAGCCAACCTAGAACTCAGAGCCTGTCTCTCCCAGCCTTTCTCTGGCCCATTCTCCTGCCTTTATCTTCGCTCACATGCCAGCCTCTAGTTCCATGAACTCAGACCCTACCTGGCTACCTGATACCCCCAACCCTCTCCACCCACTGACTGCTAGCTCTAAGGACTCTGTCCCCAGGGAACCTAGGACACCAGCTCCCAACCTGCAGTCCCCTGGACCACTCCAGCCAATCCCACGCTAGAGGTTCAAGTTACACCTAGGGTTCCCCTACCCTTTGCAGCTGGTATCCCTCCAACTTCTCCACTTCTAGCAACTCCCAGTCCTAGCCCATCTCACAAAAATTCAATCCCTAATCCTCAGTCATTCCTCATCAGTCACCTGCTATTCACCTACTTCTACCACCCCAGTTTTCCAGTGCCTAAAGCCCCCCCTCACATCCTAGGGGCAAAGCCGCCCTGGGACTACATAAGGGTTAGGACCATGACTTTGGGAATCACTCTGGATTTGAATTCTGGGCCACAATTTAGTCACTGTGTGATCTCGTTTTACTCATTGTCAGATGGAAACTACCTCTCAGAGTCCTTTCCAGAATTCAGTGAGGTCATGTCAGAGTTATTTAGCAGGGCAAGTAACACAAACTTAGTGCCCAGGAGATATTAGAAACTTGCTGGATCATAACTTGTATTATTTATGATCATGTATAACTGCATTCACAGCAAACCCCACAATAATAGGGGCTTCCTTCCCCAGTCCAGAAGGTGATCCAGGGATAGTTTGGTGGCTACATGATCATCAGAGACCCAAGCTCCTGCATTTTCAATGCAGTTTCCATCTCATGGTTCAAAATAGCTGCTGCAGCTCTAGCTATCTTGCCTGCATCCAGCTAGCAGAATTTAGCCACATGACCTCATTAAGCTGCAAAGAAGTGTGGGGGTGGGGAGAGGAGCACACTGGAATTACTACTGGGCCAGAAATTGGCCCTACAGCTCATCATCCTTCCCTTCTCATTTCCCGAAGGCCAATTCCTCCCACCATCAGCCCTGCTGCCAGACACAGACTTCTTCCCCAGCACCGTGTCCCTCCCCGGCCTGGAGCCCCCTGGCGGGCCGGATCTCCTGGACGACGGCTTTGCCTACGATGCCACGGCCCCCACGCTCTTCAACATGCTGGACATGCTGACCCCAGCGCCCCCTCTCGCCAGCGCTGTTATGGGCAACGGAGGTGCCGGCACCGCGGTTGGGGAGTCCCCTGGCCCTGAGCCACTAACACTGGACTCTTACCAGACCCCGGGCCCCGGGGATGGAGGCACTGCCAGCCTCGTGGGCAGTAACATGTTCCCCAACCAATACCGCGAAACGGGCTTTGGGGGCAGCCTCCTGTCCCCAGGGACTGAGGCCACGTAGCCCTCACAGTGCCAGAGGAATGCACTGGGTGGGGAGGGAGGTGGCCGGGCCTGTGGGAACTCAGCCTGTAGGTCCGGCACCCCCAACAGCCTGGATCAGTCTTCCGACTTCATCCATCTGAAACGGACATCTTCAACGCAGGCCAGAAGCTCTGTCGCACCGGTTTCCCCTTGAGCCTATTTCACAAAAGAGAAAACCGAGTCCGGAGAGAAAGAAGGGCTTGGTACACTGCCTCAGCCCCCAGGAGCGGGGCCCCCTCTCCAGGCGGATGCTGGAGAGGACACTTGGGAGGAGGGTGTAGGTCCCCCGCCCTTCGCCCCAGGCCCGAGGGTGCGGGGGTTGGTTGGTTGTTCAGAGTCTTCCCAATAAAGATGAGTTTTTCAGCCTTCGGGTTTTGGTCTCTCCCCTCCTCCTGGGAAACGCCGCCGCGCTCCCCGCGACTCCGCCTTTCCCACCGCCCTCCGCCAGGCCCCGCCCACAGTGCCGGCCGCCGGCAGGCCCCGCCCCTTACGTCGGCGGAAACGCGGCCTGCCACGCTCCCCCTCCCCCTTCGCAGGGCCTCCCACTTCCGCTTCCGGTGCGGGCCGCGCGCTAGCGCAGCGGTAGGAGGCAGCGACGAGCCGGTGAGTGCAGGCGGTGGGCCCTGAGCTCCTGGTTTTCGGGTGGGTGTCAGCGCAGATTCGCAGACTCGGCCTCTCTCCGTGTCCCCTGAGCCTCTGCTCGGCTCCGCCCCCGAAGGCCGCCCGCCTCACGCCCCACCGGCTGGCCGGGGCCTCAGGCCGCGCCCCAGCCCCCACCGTGGGCCCGAGCTCTCCGCGTCGGCCCAGGCCTTCGAACCCTCGACTTGCACAGGCCCCGCCCCCTTGTCACCAAAACTTGACCCGAATCCTCAGACCCGGACCCGGTTCCTAAGCCCGTCCACACCCTCGCGCCCCGCCCCTGCCCCAAAACCTGGCCTCGAAACTAAGCCCGCCCGCCTCGCGTCGGCCAGCACCGCCTCCCTCAGCCTCTGCTACCCTTTTTACCTTCCCTCTCCCGGATGCTCTTCTTTAGACTCCAGCCCCGCCGTGGGAATGTTCATTACAGCACTCCCCAGGTTCTTCTCCAAACGTCGTCATCATCCCTGTACGCCCTTCACCTGCCCTCGACCCCTTCCATAGCCCTGCTCTCGTCCCATAGAGTCACCTCCTCTGTCTTCATCTTCATCCATCTGCGAACTAGCCCCACCCGCTGTGGATGGGCCCTGGTGGGAGCCATTTAAGCTCTTCCCCTGCTCTTGAAATCCAGCCCCTGCTGTGTAGGGTCGACCTCCAGACTTTGCTTCAAACCCTGGATCTTTCCCGACCCAGATTTCTTGCCGACTTCAGAGCCCTGGACCAGGACACTGCTTACCCCCAATCACCTGACGTTTTTCAGAAGGCCGAAGCTCCTGGGTCAGCGTTGTCATTGCTGTGCGGGAGCAGCTGCCATGAGTGCAGCCGCCTCCCCTGCCTGGAGCTGGTGTTTAGGACCAACTCTGTCACCAACTTATGGCCCACCTGACACTCCCTTCCCCTCACCCCCAGATTGAGGCTCCAGATTTGGCCTCACCACCATGTGGCACGAGGCGAGGAAGCATGAGCGGAAGCTTCGAGGCATGATGGTCGACTACAAAAAGAGGGCAGAGCGGAGGCGCGAGTACTATGAAAAGATTGTGAGTCACTGACCTCTGGTCTGGGGTGGGAGCACCCCCTGGAGGGTGGTCCCTGGTCATCGAGGGGAGAATTTGGGCTTGGAAATATGCCACAGTACGAGGCAGTTTCCTCATTCAGTGAGAAGGGAAGCCTCCCCCTATCTTGAGCATAATGTTTGGTAAAAACCGGAGGCGTTCCATTTGTCAAGGCATGCTGTGTTGGTTGGGTGGCCTCAGTGCAGAGCCGGTGTCTGCTGGAAGGTGGAAAGTCTTTGTAACACCCAGAGCAGGCCTGACACGAGACTGGCCATCTCCCGATGGCCATGTTCCCATTTCTAGAAGAGTTCAGCCATCCTTGGGCTTTGGCTCTGGCCTTTGGCTCCAGGCTCTGTGGGAGTGCTGTCAGTATTCATTAAGTGAAATCTGAGCATTTCCTTCTGCCATCAGATGTTTTGATCTGCCAGTTGATTTTGGAGAAAAGACTAAACTCCATCCTGTGACCTGAAAGGCCCTGTGGTCTAGCCTCTGCTGGTCTCTCAGCTTTATCCTTGGGCAGCTCATGTGGCCTTTTTCTTGGTCTCTGCCACCACAGGACATGGAGGTGCAAGGCCTCCCTTCACTGGGTTGATGCTTATCTGTTCTTGAGCCCTCCATTTGAAATGGTACTTGTCTTCTAGGGCCAGTGCTCTTGTAGGTGATACTATTTTTTAAAAAACATTTAATTATATATATATAAGAACTGGGGTACGGCTAGAGGTGCAGGGCTAAGAGGGTTTACCAGAGACAGTGGGGAGCAGAACAGGTAGATTGAAGCACACTGCTGGGGGAGCAGCAGGCAGGACAGGAGAGGTCTGCTGCACCATGTGGGTCATTCCCTGGCTGGGATAAAACTTGTGCTACAGTGGCTGTGGAGCGCTTCTTAGTGCTTCGACTTAAACTCTTGTACCATCAGGGAGGCCCCGTTAGTACTGTGTTCCTCGCACAGCTTTCTCCCTGGCCTCCTGGCTTCTAGTTCTGTTTTACCAAACCACCCTCCTTGGAGGGGGCATTGGAACCTTTCTAAACTGCAGAGCTGACTCTGCCCCTCCCTTGCTCAGGTTTCTCCCTTGCTCAGGCTCCTCAGTACAATTCAGTCATCATGGTCTGGATTTTGTCCCACCTCATCTCCCCTCCTTCCCCACATACTAGCACTCTGCTCTCTGCCTAGTTCCTTTGCTCAAACTGCCTGCCCTTCTTGCTACCTTGAGTGACTTTGTCTTACACAAAAGCTGTATAAAGAACCTATATTTACCTCAGAATTGTAGCCTTCTCTAGCCACAGGATGTTTGCATGAGCTCTTCCCACACCTAGTTAACTCCTCACCTAGCAGCTGTCAGTCATCAGGGAAGTCTCCCCTTATCACCCACATTCAGACAGATGTCCCCTCTAAATGCCATCCTGGCTCCCCGTTCTTCTTGGGGTGGGCTTCAGTACACACCCAGTTCTGTGAGATTTGGGCCACCTTTGCACCCCAAGGTCCGGTCCAACAAATGTCGTTTGAAAGTGTAGGTTAATGAGATAATATGATAATATTAAGAATAGCAGTTATCATTTTGATCTTAACTTAATTGACCATTCCATGCAGCAGGAGGACTTTAGATGAATGTCTTTGAATTCACAGTCACACGGTAGATAGAGGCTGTTCCTGCGAGAGGGGACTTGTCTTTTGTCACCGGGGAAAGAACTGTGAGGCTGGAGGGCGAGCCTATCTCTGATGGTGTCAGTAACGAACATCAGGACGTGAGTTTGGACCTCTCTTGGTCATAGTTGAGGCCCTGACAGTGGTTTCCAGCTCACATCGGTGCTTAGGAACAACTGGCAGCCATTTACTGAGGGTTTGTGATGTGCCAGAAATAGTGCCCACTACTTTGGTACAACAACATAGTTCTTTCAGAGGGACTGAGAGGTCGGTATTGATCCTTATGTTAAAGGTGATGCTGATAATGATGATTTATGTGTTAACCACTGTGCAAAGCCCTTGACATGCATTGTCATTTCATCAAATCCTCAGCCCAGCTGAGGAGGTGGTTCTTACTACCTCCATTTCACAGGTGAGCAGACTGAGGTTGAGAGAGTTGTGGCCTACAGTCACATGGCAGAAGGGCAGAGCTGGCACTTTAACCGAGACTGTCTGACCTTTGACTTTTCTTAGCTCTTCACCTTGGCTTTATACTGCAAAAACAGGGCTTCCAGAAGGCAGAGGGACTTGTTGAAGATGAAGTAACTTGCCCCAGTGGGACACAGCTAGGAAGCAGAGCACCAGAATGGTTAGGTCTTTATAGAGTTTGGACTCTGGGTTCAAATCCTAGCTGTCCGCTTAAATCATTGTGACCTTGGGCAAGTGAAATCTACCTGAGTCTACTTTCCTTTTCTGCATGTGAAAAGATGTCATATGTAGAATCAGGTGTGATTGTGAACAGCAGATCTAAAACATGAGTGACTTGGTTGTCACTCCCTGGTGGCACAATGAGTTTAAGCACAGTACTGTGAAGCTGTCGCAGTCAACTGCAGCATGAGTTGAATCCCTTGCCAGGGAGGTGACCCATATGGTGTGACAGACCTCTCCTGACCCGCCCACTGCTCCCCTCAGCAGTGGATTTTAGTCCATGTTCTACTCCCCACTCTGTCTCTGGTGAATCCTCTCAGCCCCCTGCATATCTGGCCTGTAACCCAGTTCCTTATGCATAGATAAATAGATCTTTAAAAAAAAAAAAAAAAAGCAGCTCTAGCAAGGAAGTGCGTTTCCTTTTCACATAAAAACCCAGAGTGGTCAGTTCTGCTGAAATTGTTTTTTGGCTGCCTATGGTTTTTCTTCCCGTGCTACTACCTCCGTGTCTAAAAGGGCTGCTCAAGTTCTAACCATCACAACTTTGCCTCTATCAGGGAGGAAAAAGGTGGGGACAAGAGGAAAAGGTACTCAAGCCAGTTGTTAAGAAAGCTTCTAGATAGTTGCACGTGGCACACCCCACATGCCAGAAAGTAGACCTGTGGTCACGTGCAGTACAAGGAAGACTAGGAAGTGGAGGCTTAATCTGGGAGCCCTTGTGCCAGATATATAAATGAGCAGTCCTATTACCAGTGAAGGAGGGGGAGTGAGTGTTGGTTGCCAGTTAATGGTCTGCCATAAATGGGGGGGGGGGGGGCGGGCAAGAACACCTTCCTCATGAGCCTTTTATTTATTTTTTTAATAATAGTTTATTTTTAGCCTTTTTCCATCTCAGTTGTAATCCCCACGGGCTTCCCATCACCAGATCACCCGTGTGCTGTCACCATAGTCCCGTGCACTTCACCCCCCTCCCCTCCCATTTTTGACCCCATTCCACCCCTGTAAAATGTCTCTGGTATGTAGTTTTTCATTATTATTATTATTACTATTCTCTCGCCTGGTCCGTTATATTCCTGCTACCTCATGAGCCTTTTTTGGTGATGTGAGGATCAGCACAGGGACCAGCAGGCTCTTGTTATTACTAAAGTTTTTTTTTTTACTAGGGCTAGGTCACTTGGAGGCCCTGAATTCCAGGCTCCTTTTCATGGGGAAGCTCTCTGAGCTTTATTTTCCCCGGAGACACAGTGATGACCAGCTCCTCTCACTGGGTGATGGAGGAAGCTGTGTCTGTGGGGTGCTTTGTGGTACAGGCCTGTACAAGCAACCATTGTCCCTGTACGTG